GAGGAAAACAACGAAAAACAACGAAAGAAAGAACTATAATCTTTCCAGAAAATATAATAGAAACGAATAATCGTGAGATTAAGTCCAGACTACTGTAAGTTTGTCACTCATAGTTAGACCGAACATGATGAAGCACAAACCAATCTGAATATCACTGGAATAATGTCAGGTTATATCATTAACTCACCCTAATTACATGATCGGAAAAGAGCAAATGTGTAGTGGAAGTGTTGCTATGGAATAGAGTAACGTAAATTCATAACATAAGTAACGTAAATTCATAACGTAATTCTTAAACACTAAAACAGCAATGTAATTCGCGTACACGTTACTCGAAGTAATACATAGTCACATGACATGTATCTTACATAAGTATGACATCTGTACTGATATTAAACTGTGTAGGAAATAATTCCAAGAATTGCAATAAATAAATATTAACATAAAGAAGAATTCCTTTATGGTGAATATTCAATTGCGGACGAAGACTTGAGATGTAATCCGTAACAAAACCAGTAATAAACCCTAAAACCAAAAGTTATCACACCAACACACGCACACACGCACACGCACGAACACGTCCACCGCCTTACCAGGTACCACAATCCTCCCATGCATACGGTACATCCGCACAGGAATCATTGTGGGATCTAAATTGCAATTAGCAGCTTCATTTCCAACTTGAAAGGTTTGAACTCGATTAGCCAAAATTTAATGAATCGCCATCGTTTTAGATGAGGACACCTTTTTGTTTTTCGCTTTATCTGTTCCAATTTGGGATTTGTTGTTAGCAGTTAATGCAAAAATACTTAAAGAGAGTTTAACTGAAAAAGATTGGGAAAGTTAAACATCAAAATTAGAAATTATTTTCAAATTTACATCGAAAAAGAAAATTTGTTGTATTACTGTGATTTGGTTTTAGAAAATTTATTTTTGGTACTTCATTTCCTTTTTAAGGTTGCATGGCTCAATTTAATTTCAGTTAGACGCATAACTAAGTATTTACAATCAGTACAAAATGATGATTAAGCAATAAAGCAATAATTTAAATTTGCGAAAAATTACCGGTAAAGTATTATCGAAATCGGAGAATATGAAATTTGTATATATCTGAATTGAATACTTGAACTTGTAAGGTAAATTATTTTTAGTACCGTTAGTGCTGCTTCATTATTTCGTTTTTTTTCTTTTCCCATAAGATAAGCTATTGTTTTACTCGTACTATTCGGCAAATGATGATAGTTGAATTATCGTTATTTTAATTTTAAGTTAAATTCTTTTTCTCTTTAATACAGATGAAATAATACATGTATATTAATGTTCTTGCATACTTTAATTATAAATGAAACTTGTAAATTTTAATTATACCTTACCTTTATTAAATATTAATATGAATGGTTGCACTATGTAATTTAATAAAATTCGCATCTTTATGCGAGTGTAAAAGAAAAAATAAAAGCAAGAATTTTATCAAATACAATAATACGTCAGAATGAATCAAAAAAAAAGCATGTTAGGGTATGTGTAATTTCTGATAGTGATAAAACATAATAGATGATAATACCTAAGTTTGTGATGTATTAAAAAAATGTTTTAAATTTGTTTAGTTACATAAAAATTGAATAACATCTTTACAAGTTTTCAATAATTGTAAATTATACATTCAAACATTCATTTTTTAATTTTATAAAATGCAACCTCTTTCTAATACTTTTTAAAAAAAAAATCTTTTGATTTTAAACATTTAAATTCAAAAAAGAAAAAAAAAACAATTTGTAATGTTTACTTCATAATCAAATGATATGAAAAATTATTGATGAAATTCATTCATACTATCGTTCCTCATAACGAATTGCTTGTATTAATTCAAGTGCAGAAAAGTATAATCCAATTGTCATTAAGCAAAATACCAATACCAATAATAAAATTGATCGAATTTTCGAATCAACTTTT